TTATTTCTGCATTCTTTGTCATTGTTTTTCTCTTACTTATTATTGTCTTTTCTTTTGCTGGATCTTCGTTTTTCTTTTCTTTTATTTATCAATGTTTCTAAAAAAAATTGGCATTCGGTTTTTGCAGCATTCAATTTCTGCAATGTTTGATGTTAATGTTGTTTTTTTGTACTGAATTTGTTGTTATTTTTTTTTTATTATTTTGTTACGTTTTTATTTTTTTAATTCTGCAGACGATGATGATTAAAATGGCACCTACTTTGTGTCGGACTCTAGGATATTAACTGTTGATTTTGATGAAGATAAAAAGATTAAGACTTACCGTACTTTGTTTTCTTTTGTGTTTTTATTGAAGGATTTTTCTTTTCATTTGCTATTAATTAATAATATGTTTCATCGTGTTATGTTAGATTATGATGTGTACAACAAATTCACTAAATTTGGAATTGATGTAAATTCTTTCATGAATTAGTCACTTATCTTGAAAGTAAAAATGATCCTATTTCTGTAAAGGAACTTGCTATAACTGCTTCCAACAATCTAATAAGATATGAAAATGCCAATAGGGTCAAATTGGATCAGAGCTAGAAGATAAGTAAGTCATATATGCTTCATATTTCTTATTTTCTGGCTCTGTTCCAATTTAACCCTTCTTGGCATTCCCATATCTTATTAGAAGATTATCGAAAGTAGTTATAGCAAGGTCCTTTAAAGAAACAGGATCATTTTGACTTTTAAGATAAGTGGCTAATTCATGAAATAATTTCTCCATGACATTTTCGACACCAGACATTGTCGAATGTCGCGTAAACATCAATTCCAAATTTAGTGAATTTGGTGTACACATGGGAATCTAACATAACACGATGAAACAGATTATTAATTAATAGCAAATGAAAAGAAAAATCATTCAACACAAAGGAAAACAAATTACGTTAAGTCTGAATCTTTTTATCTTCATCAAAACCAACCGTTGATATCCTAGAGTCCGACACAAATAGTACTTGTTATTGTGTATATAGGCAACAACAGTGGTGCTGTTGTGATCATCATTGTTTGCAGAATTGAAAAAATAAATAAATAACAACAAATTCAGTACAAAGAAAGAGCATTAACATCAAACATTGCAGAAATTGAATGCTGCAAAAACCGAATGCCAATTTTTTTTAGAAACATTGATGAATAAAAGAAAAGACAAACGAAGATCCAGCAAAACAAAAGACAATAACGAGTAAGAGAAGAAAAGACAATAACAAGTAAGAGAATAACAATGACGAAGAAATTTGAAGCATTGATCTTACCAGACATGGTCTGAAATGCAAAGACGCTCAGGTTTGTTATGTTTGAGTTTCAAGAGGGGGATAGTGAGGGATAGATGCATGTGGTAATATAAACAAAGGAGACACGAAAAATTACGAAGAATTCTGCTTCAGAATTGCCTATTTCATTTCACAACATACATCTGCAAACAAGCTGGCGTGACGAAGCTGGTGTACTCGTGACATGATGACATGTATGGTGGTTTGCTCTCCTGCCCATCCTCACAAGGCGGGCATCGTGACGGCGGAGAGGGAAGAGAAATTAGATGGGCTTTTTTTTAGCCCCGAGGGGAAATGTCTATGTGGTTCGACTCTCCTGCTTATAAAGCAGCCGTCAGGAGTTCTGAACACAAAGTTAGGGGGTGTATTCAATTGAGAATTTAAGAGATTTTTATGGAGTTTAACTGATTTATAAAGATTATATGTAAAATTTTGATTCAATTTCTTTGAAATCTCATGGGGAGGTGATATTTGTAGATGTTTAAAATACACTACAAAATCTCTCCAATTCTCTCTAATTCTTCAACTTTTCTAAATTCTTAAAATTCAAATTCTATTTGAATACACATGTAACAATAAACTCTTTTAAAATTCTAATTGAATACACTCGGATTTCTAAGACTTTTAATAAAATATCTTAAAATCATAATTGAATACACATTGAATTTTAGAGAATCAATTAAAATCCTGATTGAATATCTCTGGATTCATTAAAAGAATTAAAATCTTTCAAAATCTCAATTCAATACTCTCCTTAAACTCTCAAACTTAACCTAGCATCCGATGCGTTGAAAATAAATGAATTAAATAGATCCAACGGCTCCGGTGCGTAGGTGGGCCACGATTTCTTTTTTGGTTAATTAAATTACCGCGTGCAAGATTCCTTTCCGGGAAAATCAACGTTCGTAACTAACTTTACCGCATTCAAGTTCAAATTATTTAATAATATTAGATTATGACATCATTTAATTATTCAATTTTTTGATATTATTATTTAATATTCGATTATGATCTTTCTCTCTCTCCCTGCTAAACGGACGGAATTCCAAATTATTTAATAATGTAATAATATTATCATTTAATTATTCAATTTTTTGATATTATTATTTAATAACATAATTTATTGAAGTAACTAGTATTTTTTTTTTTTTTTGGGTTTGGTTGCAGGTACAGTTAGAAAGCCCCCGCCGCTGTATAGTTTGCATGGATGAGGGTCACGGTGTAGTATAGAGTGGCCACGATGCATGGCATCCCTTAACGGCCTTATTTTGCCTACTTTCTTCTCCTAACTATTTTGACTTTGAAGTGATTTTTTTCTCGTAAGTTTGCTAAACGTTATGTGTATGTTGCATAATTTTCACCAGCAGTATAATATATACCTCAGTTTTTTGGCACGTAACATATATTGCATTGAAGAAAATTATGATAATGAATTACTCAACTTTAACTCAATCGGAACAATGTTCTCACAACACTATTAATTTTTGCAACATTTTACGAATGTCTCACAAGATGACGAGGTAGAGTGTGGTTTAGGATTTCTTCTTCTTGTTTTTTGTTTCGTTGGTAAGGTGTGCAAGATTTAACCGGTAAACAAGTGCATTTTCTCACTACACACACAAACACCCTGATGGCCAAGCCTTCAAGGCACAAATCTTTTATTTTTGGCCGTTGGATCTTTTACTCCACATGATCCAACCATTCATTTAATTGGTGTATGCTCTAGAAATTTCGGATAACTAACACGTTTAAGAACGCTACCTCCCAAGTTCCAATTCCTAGTAGCAATATGTGCCAATTATACGAACATTTTACCATAACGATGTGATATATGTTGTGGCCATTTTTCTAAAGGGTTAATAGAGGGTACAACAAATGAAAGTGTGGAGAGAAATTGTAGAATGTTTAAGATTGTGTGATTCTCACATGTCAATACTTTTACTAAGGGTAATGCTAGGGAGACTAAATTTATAGACAAAAAATTTGCAAACTAAATGATGTGTCACCAATATGAATGAACACATTTATCAACGTTTAAGTAATAATTCAACCATCAACATCCATGTCATTTGGTTTACAAATTTAATCACCCTATCATTACTCTTTTTTATTAATAGTAATATAAGAGGAAGGAATAACTTATCCTCCAAGTAATTACAACTCTAATAGTAAAGAATCACTGTAATAAGTGGTAATCTAAAACTCAATATCTAATAACTAGGATTTACACCGTCACTATAATGATGAGCACATGCATACATAGAATTGTAATTTCTTGGAGGACAAGTCTTTCCTATTAGAATTGTAATTTCTTAGATGACAAGTCACTCATTCCTCTTAGATTACAATTAATAAAAGGGGGCATAAAGAGAATCACACCATCCTAAGCATTCTACAATTTCTCTCTACGCTCTCACTAGCCGCACCCTCTCTTAACCCTTTAGAAAATTGGCCACAACATATTTCTATTCCTGTATAATTGGGCATAGATTACCACTAGGCCCCTTACCATGGAATCTTGGAGTTAAATGCTTCACCAAAAAAGTGTAAATCTAAAAATCCATTACGGGATTTTGCTAGCTCTTCTTGCCACAAGGTCTTTTCTTTGTAATTGTTATTTTCGTCACGAAAAAAAAAATAAAAACATAAGATATATCTTGATTTTGATTGCTTGAGATGTAAGGAAACAAAAGAGTTTTTTTATTTTTTTATTATTTATTTTTTTATTTTATATATAACCAAGTTTTGTCTCCACAAACTCATCTACTTCTCTGTTCGAAGTTTGAATATATTCTGAGTTTTGAATGCTGGTTTGCAAGAACAAGAGCAACTCCCTCGTTTTTTCTTTCTCTAAACAGGCATAAGCATCCACAAAGTAAGAAAACTCTGAATCGTACCATCTACAACGAAATCTTCAACTCTCTCCAAATTTTCCCTCTAAATTTTATGGCCATAAAATAAATAATTTTTTTTCTTTAAGAAATCACTAAGAGCATCTCTAATGTGTCAAAAGATAAATATCAAATGTTAATGTAATAGATAACGTGACAATTGTCAAATTTTCTCTTCCTCCAATCTATATATATATATATATATATATATACATATATATATATATATATATATTTTGTTATAAATGATATTTGTAAGACTCATCCAATAAGATAATTATAAAAAAAATTTGGCAGCACTTTTCTCATATGTCAATTTTGGCAGAAGAAAATTCATATGTCAATCCTCGTAGAATTGACATGTCGGTTGAGAATTCTTCATACTTTTAAATTTGATTGCGTGACATTCCACTTAAAATTTGAAACCTCCTTTAGTACTTTTAAAACGACCTAAATTTTTTTTACGTATCGGTGTACAAGTGGTTAATGAAATTTGAGTGTACGAAGATTCCTCTAAGAAAATAGGGAATTTTAACGAAAAACTTCATGTACTGTTTAATTTGACGAAAAATCATATTTTGACATTAAAAAATCAATCATGGTACTATTCACTTTACCCTTTATTTTGTCGTTATTGTTAAAACTCAAAGTTTTCAAACCATTTTCATTAGTGTTCGTAAGAAAATAACTATTAACCCTGCAGGCCCAGGAGTGAAAAACAAGGGCCATGAAATTTGGGGTGGGCCCACGAGGCACAATCTGGTATACCTCTCCAAATATCATATCAATTTTTTATCAGCAGCAGAAAATCTCAAATTCGCCGTCCTTCCCCTTTTCACACAATCCTCCCTCCTCCTTCATTGCATGCCTCCGAGTCGTGCTCTTCCAATTGAATAAATCCGGGGACCCAATTCGGATCCGAACCGGAAACCAGAACCCAACCGAACCCAACCGCGGAGTCGAATTTGGATTTGTGAGGGAGGAGGGCAGCCATGGCGTACAGGGCCGATGACGACTATGACTATCTGTTCAAGGTGGTGCTGATTGGCGACTCCGGCGTCGGAAAATCCAACCTTTTGTCGAGATTCACGCGCAACGAGTTTAGCCTCGAGTCGAAGTCGACGATCGGCGTCGAGTTCGCCACTCGGAGTATCCACGTTGATGAGAAGATCGTCAAGGCCCAGATTTGGGACACCGCTGGCCAAGAAAGGTTTTTAACTTTCTCGATCAATTCATACTTTGATTATTTCAATCTGTTTGCCTCTTTTTATGTTGTTCTTGTTATGGGATTTGGGTAAATGGGTGATTTGATGATGAGAAAATGTGGGGAAATGGGTAATTGGGTGCTGAGAAAATGTGGGAAAATTGAAGGGACTGTTTAGAGATTTCGTTCGCCATACGAATCGAGATCTGTCAACGAATTGTGTTTTATTTTTGTTTTCGGTTTATTGTTTGAACGCTGAACAGAATCTGACACCAATGTAAGATCACTGCTGAATTTGAACATGTTCTCTTGTATTGAATAATAGAATTATCAAATTAAGAAAATGTAAGCTATAATCTCAAAAGAATTGAGCATCGAAAAAGTACTTGTTTAGTTCTTTCTGCTTGGTTCATTGCAGAAGGATAAACTTTTGAACAGTATAAGTAGGTCATCGGGTATGTGAAGATGTCTCCTGTACCGTCAGATGTAAATCCAACAAGGGATTCTACTAATGTGGCTCTATGTGTTGAATAGTGTGTTTTTCGGAAATAGGATTGGTACTGAATATTCGTTGCTTTCCTTCTACCGAGCAGATGTAGTCCTTAGTTTGTGTTGCTGAACCTTTTCGGTAGCAGACTAGAAGATTTGAGATAATAGGTTTCAGGGCATTGAATAATTTGTTATTTTGATGTGGTTGCTGTTGTCATTTGTGAATGATGATTGCCTGAATTTTAAGTTTTGAGTGATTTTTTCTTTTGTTGAAGGTACCGTGCAATCACAAGTGCATACTACCGAGGAGCTGTTGGCGCTTTGCTTGTCTATGACGTCACCCGGCATGTGACATTTGAGAATGTTGAGAGATGGTTAAAGGAGCTACGGGATCACACAGACTCCAACATTGTGATAATGCTCGTGGGTAACAAAGCTGACCTGCGTCACCTGCGTGCTGTTTCTGTTGAGGATGCCAAGGCTTTTGCTGAGAGAGAAAACACCTTCTTTATGGAGACATCAGCACTTGAGTCTATGAACGTTGAAAATGCGTTCACTGAAGTCCTAACACAGATATACCATGTAGTCAGCCGGAAAGCACTAGAGGTCGGAGATGATCCTGCAGCATTGCCCAAGGGACAGACCATAAATGTCGGAAACAAGGATGACGTTTCTGCTGTTAAGAAAGATGGTTGCTGTTCTGCCTAATCGTGAGAGCGATAGGTCAAGCTGAAAGGCGTCGTCTTCTCATTTTGCTGCCCCTAAAGTTTCAAGATTTGTACCTGTCAACACATGGAATTTATCATTGACTTTTTACCGTATGGTATTGCCTGAGTTTTTTGGGGTCGGCTCTTAGTTTTGGAGTCAAAAGAAATGTCACAGCTTCCGTCTTATGTCAATTTCTTGATTATTTACCTACGATCTTTTGTTGATACTTTCGTTTGCTCTAGTTTAGGAACAGTTTCTGGATAATTTTTTTGTATCGGATGGATGATTAGTTGAATGTATGATGATTTAGCGTCTTCCCTTTTATGGCTCAAATAAGTACATTGCCAGTCGAAAAGGTTTTACATCATAACACGAGGCGGTTTTAAGGACTCCGAAACATTTTCGAGTTAAGAGATCAAAATATAACTCGAGGACACTTTCAGTGACCATTGTTACGATTAAGTCAAAATCTTTTACACCGTTTTTATCTACCAGAAGAAAATTCTAGAATGCTGCAGAGTACGAGGTACTTCGTGTGTTTTAACCATTAGATTTTGATTTTTGATTTTTAAATAAAAATTTACGGTAAAAAACATCTGGAGTCTGCCATACTCAGGGTGCTGTGGAGGAGACTGCTTTCTAAAGCGACTACTGTTAAACCTTTTTGATTTAAAAACCTTAGACCAATGGTACTTAGTACTATGGCCTAGTGGTATTCTTCTTCATTTATAAGTGAGAAGATTCAATTCTTGCCACAGACGACTTCGAGCAAAATTATTATGGTTAGCCCACTATGAGGCTTAGGCCTGGTTTGGTACTAAGGTGATTCTGAAAAAAGTTGGTATCAAAAAAAGCTAGGAGCTGTTTTTGTGTTTGGTAAACATTCAGCTTCAGCTTTTTTTTCACAGTTTTTGGTGAAAAAAGTCAAAAACAAGAAGCTGCAAAACCCAGCTTTGAAAAACCGGTTTTTTTTCACATTTGTTTTACATAAAAGTTTACCAAACACTATAACACTATTATACTGCTTTTTTTTTTTTTTTCAAAAGCACTCTAACAAAAAAGTTTACCAAACACTCTGCTACTTTATTTCACAGATGCTTATTCTCACAACACAGCAGAAGCAGCTTTTTTTTCAAAGCACAACAATACCAAACTAGCCCTTACACCGCTCCTCCACCTCTTAGTGTAAATAATATCGCATGTTAAAAATAAAAAAATAAAAAAATAAAAAAAACCTTGGACCAATAAATTTATGTATTTTGTTTAATCAAGTAAATTTATGAATTTAAAAAACAAATTGTACATTATTCAATGTAATATATTGTTCTATTTCATGAACATTTAACCAAGCAAAAACTCTATTCAAGTAAAAAAAGCCATAGTAACACAACACACCATACATACATCAATGGCTTCTCGTGTCAAAGGTGTAAAGAAATCAGGAAACTATTAATTTATGTATTGCGTGAGACTTGTATGAATTTTTTTATGATGTCTAATATTATAAATTTCGCAAACTATTAACATAACACATTATTCTCAAGTCAAGACCGACCTAAAATATTATTTAATTGTGATTATTAATTAATTAGATATCAAATTATTGAAGTGTTACTATATTTTGTTAAATAGATTCTCAAATTTAGAGATTATAATCTCTCAAAAGAATCTCATAGCTTGTTGTACCATATTCTATATCCAATTAGTCACCAACGGAGCTACACACCACAAACATGCAACATGAAATTTACAGTGCCTAATATCAACATAAGAAACAGAAGCATTAAATTCTCATTCAAACATAGTCATTTCAGCGTCGACCGATCATTTTTCATCGACAAAGATGAATTATTCAAAAAAATAAACAAATAGTTGGCACAAATGAACAAAATGTGGCTTAATTACCAAGAGTAATACCGCAGAGGCAGAATAATAAAATTTAAAAAAAAAAAAAAACAAAAAGGTCTGTACAAGTTTGATAGGTACATGACCAATGTTGGTAACAATTGGTCGATATATATTATATGCCGGTGCATATACAAAAATATATAACAAAATAAAGTTAGATGAAAGAACAAAGGAAGAATCCCTTGTCATTCAACTGTCGCCCCCTCTATACATTCTTCTTCCCTGTGTTCAACGCTTCGGATTTGCAGACAGGGCAGACATTTTTCACAAGCAACCACTTCTTCAAGCAACTTGCATGATACTCGTGTCCGCAGTGGAGAATTCCTATCTTCTCGCGGTTCTTGTAATTATCCTGTAAAATCCCGAACGCAACAATGGTGAATTGACCAGCAATATGTATTTTCTTTTTAAACGGTAACTATTAGAGATTCACAAGTATGAAGCTACTCAATTGCACGTAACTATCAAGACGAAACAATATGTTGGAACAAGTTTTATGGTACCTGGCATATAATGCAGGAATCGGCTTCCTTCCCTGGGGATCCAGCATCTTCGAGGTTTAAATTAATTGAAGATGATAAATAAGACCTTGTCTTTAGTTGTTTTCTAATGGCCTCATCTGACAACCCAGTGCTTACATGGCCAATTTGCTCCTCCAATGCAAGAAGCTCCTGCAGTCGAAAGTGGGGTTTTCAGGTTAAAACTCTGCAGAAGTAGCATAACTATCGGAATAACAGAATAAAAGTGGTAAGAACATAAATATATCTGAGAATCCATTGGCATAGCTAAGGAACTCTTTTATCTTTTGCTTTATCTGCACGATTCCGCAATTCGTTGATGTATCTAAATGAACAAGTAGGTAATAATGGAACTACTTCAGTTACCTCATATGACATGTCCTCTATGTCCAACCGCATGTCTCTGTGCTGGTCAAGAAAGCTTCCATAAAAGTTAGGAACATCTACTATGACACCCTCCTACAAAAAAATTCCAAAAAGGTTCAGCCAAATATAATCTCAAATGTAGATGGTAAATACTAAATGCATATACCATATACTTCCAAATAACACACAAACAATATGTGTGTGTGTAGAGAGAGAGAAAGAGAGATTACATCAGCCTGAAGAACTCTGAAGTGGGGAAGGTTCTGGTGTCTTAAAGCTGCCTCGGGAATAACTCCTTGGTGTGGCCTGTATACCCTAAAACCATTCGAGGGAATAGATCCTGGTTGCCTACGACCAATCTCCAAACCATTCTGAGAAGGATTCATGGTGCTGCGCGAGGAACTTGTGGGTAATCTATATGAAGCTGCTGTGGCACCCTGGGGGATAAAATTAAGGTTGTGGCCTCTTAATCCTTGCATGGGTGGTGCTACACGTTGATTATGATGGTGGTGGTTGAGCGGAGGAGGATGCCGGAGAATAGAGGAATTTCTGTTGCTAGATGAATCATGATATCTTTGCATACCCATGTTCGCGCTGTCCATCGAACCTACCGTGACATTACCCCCTGTGAGAATGAGCCACAGAGAGTGAGTGTTCCAATTAATAATTAGCACACTGGTCATTAAATTAAGACACATAGGTGTGTTTCCTTAATTAGATCAATACGTTGTAAGAGCAACTGAAACATGACTTTTCAGACATTAAATGACCTAAGCAGATGCAAATAGGAATCCAATTATAAGGGAAGAAAATACAAGCCAGTACTGACCATGCATAAAAGGAATAGTAGGAACTGGATTCCAGGATGGAGAACTTCCATCCCCACTGTTACTACTTAAATGTTGATCCAACCAAAGTGTTCCAGCCGGCTGAAAGTGCTGACCCGCATAATTTACTTGATTTAGAAGGTTATGGTCATGTGTCATAACAGAATCAAGCCCAGTTGTAGCTGATCTGTTCCTCATATTACTCTGAGGTCCTGCTTCCATAATTGGTGGATTGCCAGTTCCCGCATACTGAGGCAAGGCATAAGTTACAGCATCCATTACAGCAACTCCATCAGGATTCCTCAAATTCAAAGGAGGCACTGAAGAACTAGGGGTTGCAAAGCCATTAAGATATTGGAAATTCCCTGGTAGGCCTTCAGGGTTTTTTCTCTTAAACTGACCTCTAGCATCATCCATTATGCGATTATTTCTACCATACTCATCTGCAGAAATTCCAATGGCTCCATAATGGCTAGAAGATGGCGACGGATCAGAAGCACCATGATTTAGAGGAACAGGTAACACCCCAGTACTAGACGAAGGAGTCATGTACGAATAATAATAGTTGGCAGGAGTCGCAACGCCCAAATCAAGATTATGATGATGCTGAACACCAGTGTACTGGGCCATCCCGTAGAGTGCAGCATTATCATAACCCTCGGGTAAATGTTGGGCATCAAAACTAGTAGTGCCCCCTGAAGCTGTTACCATTGTGTGAACATTGCGCTGTTGGATACTAGAAGCGCCCCCAAAATGGACGGAGGGTGGGGGACAGAGATAACCTTCACCTTGTTGATTCATTTCCAAATCGATCATCTGACTAGGGCATAGCATATTTCTTTGCCCCATTGAAGTCTCAAATAATCCCTTCACTCCAGCCAAGGTATCTACAAAAATCAGTCAAATGATCAGTTAGGACATTATAGAACATGGAACAAGTCAAAAAATAACATTTAGATGCATACATGGTCCAGTTACCTGCTTCACAGTGAGCAAGGAGTTCCAGGGTTACCAACTTTTTGGGATCCACCATACATTGTGATTCAATTATCTAAACCGTTTATTTTTAAAGTGTCCATTTAAGGATCATGCCAAAAATAATCCAAATATGCAATCATTTAACCACTTGATTATCCTCAGCTATTATTTTAGTGTTTACAGACAATATAAGTGTCCATCTAGTAGCTGAAAGGTTGGTTGACCGTGGAATTCCTCACTCCCCGTGGAGTGGGTGAACAGGTCTATAAGTTATACCCTCCAACGTTCAAACTTTAGCACTAATTTCCTTTGCCATCCTTTATGAATGATTCAGTTAAATTATAAACAATCTTTGAAAAATAAAAATAAGGTCATTTTCTATATAAATTTTTTTGTTCAAAGAAGAAGAAGCAGAAAAAAAAAAAAGAAAAAAAAAAAGGTCATATAGTCTTCTAGAGTAAGAAGTTCAAATCTTGTAACTAAGCACAACCGATGTCACTGTCAATGACAATAAAAATAACCTAAGGTTTGGTAGAACGTCAGAATCAATCTCCCAATTAAGGTTCGGTCAATTATACAGTAACATGGTAACTGAAATTTGATACTCAAAATGCAAAATCATCATAGAAACTCCAGCAAAAGATTAGTCCATGCAGCCACAATAACAGGGTGATCACACTGACCACAAAATACTTCAGGAGTGGAAGGAAAGCATAAGAAAACCCTCAAGAAGCAAAAAATATCTCAAAAAGAAAACTGCTTCTTTCATCCGCCGTACGAGATAATGTGAACTCTTTAGGTTGCCAAAAATCCAATTATCCAGCATATTTCATTCTTTTTAAAGGTAACTAAAATCATGAATCCCCATTCCCTAGTGAAACATGATGAAAGATAAGCATATTTTGATAAAACAAATACCCACTGCTTGTCTTAGTCTACTACTCTCTACCACAAGTTTGTAACCTTAAAAGATACCATGTGCACCTGAAACTAATGGAAGGGGGAAGCACAGGTTTCACTGTTAAAAAATATTTTTAAGAAAATGTGGGAGAGAAGTTCACTCTTCCAAATTTATACCAACAAATATTACCTTTCTCATCACATCCCGTGAACCATACAAAGAAGTCTTATCCATGACTTTGTCCAAACTAATTCCATACATAACTTCCTATTCTCTTCAGAAAGTAAAAAACTTCCCCATTATTGATTAACCCATCTACTAAAGAATCCCACTCGGCCATACACACGTTTAAGCAGTGGCGGATGCATTGAGGGGCAGCTGACCCCCCGAACTTCAGTGAACGTCCATGGATACCTTGGGTGCTAACCCTCCAAACATCGGTGAATGTTCGTGGATACCTTGGGTGCTGCCCTTTTGAAGATTAGAGTTGGCTTCATACATGCCCTCCAACTAACTTCAAGCCTACCAAGACTTGGTGAATGTCTATGGATACCTTGGGTGCTGCCCCTTGCATACATTAACAGGTGTGCAATATGTCTTTCCAAATGACTTCAGGCCTACCAAGACTCGATAAAATGGCAATATGCATGCTATTTCTGGTAAAAAAATTTGCGCGCTGCGCACGCTATTCTTACTGACTTCCCTAATATTATTTCCTGGATCCACCACTGCGTTTAAGTATAGCATTGATCTCATGGTCACAAACAATACGTCCTTTTTCGATTCAAACCTAGGATCTTCATACTCACCTCACCCTTCTCATGCCACTTGAGCTAAGGTTCACGGGCGAAAACAAACAAAACACTCCAAATCAATGTAATCAGCAGTTACGTGCGAATTATCATAATTATGAGATTCTATGAGCTACGAAAACAACAAGAACAAGTCCTATATTGACAAACCTCGTGAAGAAAGAAAATCAAGCGACAGAAAATACAGTACCACACAGCTTTAGACCATACAATCACAGATTACACCATGAAATCTAATATAACATAAAAAAAAATAAAAGTAACATGCAGATGATAACTTCAACAAACTTGGTTCCATAAATTCGAGTACCGTTGGACGTATATAAATTACCCCTTAGTTTTGCTCATCAGTTTGAGAGAGGGAGAGGGACAAATCCTATGTAATATTTATTTAAATTTGAAGTTTTTTTTTTATAATTTTTTTTACTTTGCTAAGAAAATCAGAAGAAACCCAAATTTATTTCAACAAAAAATAAATAAATTTCCCGAACTCTTAGAAAAAAATTAACATAAGTACAAATTACATACTTTATTATCATAAACAAAGGGATTATATCCGAAGAATGTCGAATTTCTTCAAAAAGTTCCTGCAAAAGAAAAAAAAAAAAAAAAACCCAATTCAAATCGTCGAAATTGTAATCGGAAAGAGCAAAAAACCCTAGAGCTGAAATTAAACGCTAACGGCCATAAAAGCTTCAAAATTTGCCGCAAATAAAGAGAAAATCATGAAAAAGTTTGAGAATTTCAGTGAAATCGGCGTAGAAAAAAAAAGAACCTCACCGTAACGAAAACCGATCAAAGCAAGCGAGATCGAAAGGGTACTCCCAGAGAGAGAGAGAGAGAGAGAGAGAGAGAGGAGAGAGAGAATGGGGTATTCAATGTAATTGGGACACAGAGAGAATTGAAATTCTGGGTGTTGTTCTTTTATATCCAGGAATCAGGATTGAAGGGAATATTGATTTTATATACGGTTTAATGGCTCTGAGTTTCTAATTCTGACCGTTTATAATTTAATTTTTCAAAAAGGAAAACAAATTTAATAATTTTTTAATTTTATTTCCAGTTTTTCTTCGGTCACTTTTTTCGATTCCAGTTATGACTTAGGTGGTTCTGTTTTTATTAGCTAATAATTAGGTTTATTAAAATCTAATTTTTTATTTATTTCAATTAAATTATGTAAAAATTAGATTGGATTTTGTAGTTTTTTAATGGAGATTTTACTTGCCCAATAACAACGTTGGTTTTCTGTTTCTCGAAGGCAAGTTACACACACCTGACCTGTTAGAGAGATTTTATAGCGAGCTTGGAATACAAGACCAAATACTACATGTTATTATATAATTTAAAAAACAATTGACCTGTTATATAATTGTATGATAATATATAATTTTGTTCTGTGTTTTGAACATTAAAAATTCTCTCGAATTGTTAAGGCCTTACTCATGCATTAAATTTTGCACCTTTGTTTTTTAGGAAAGAAAATAAAGTGTAGGTGGATCAAAAAATCATAGGACTTTTACTACATTTAATCATCTGATTTGAAATTAATTTGTATTTGTGTGTAATATCCCGTATTTAAAAAAAATGATGATTATAGATGATGAGCAAAGTTATTTTTATGTAATAATTTTGTTGGGTTTCTTTTTATACGCTATATGTACATGAATTTATATTTTTGATATGTATACTAGTGTCAACATAAGTTCATTTTGCTACAAGATTATTTCAAAAACTACAGTATTATTTCATGTTCATATGTAATTAGAGAGATTTTTAGTTTGAATCGGAGAAGGGGATTATGATGAGTTTGGATAAATTTTTCTCACAAAGGCTAAGTGGCGTTTTGGCAACCATTAGAGAATAAAGGGGAGGGGTTAGTCACTACTCTAGGTTGAGGTGGAAGTTGGTAATTAATAGAAGCTAATAATTAGGGTAAAGAGGTGGAGTCTATAGCATGTGTATGTTAGTCTATTTGCATGTAGGTGGCAACGCTTTGAGGTATTAGAAGTGCTTACTCATCAATCTATAGGAATCTTAATTATTAGGATGATATTCACTACTCTAACTAGAGAAATATGACAACTTATTGTGGTTAAAACATTTCATGTGGACTTTGATGCAAGGGACATCCTGCATGATATTCATTAGTTCATGATTAGGTTAACATTTGGTGTGTTTCTATGGAACACATAATAGGGCAAGTGATTAGCTTAGCATTTGTTGTTTTTCTATTGGACCACATTTCATTCTTAATGAGTAGGACAACACTTGTTGCCTTGTTATTGGAACACATTTCATTGTAATGATTAGCACAATACTTGGTTTCTTCCTATTGGCACACTTGGAAGCTTTCTCCTCAAACTAGATGGGAATGAAGATGCCATGCAATCTTTATAAATGAATGAGTAAAGAACCAATGGAGGAAAAAGGGAGAAAAGAGAGAGAAATAAGAAGAAATAAAACAACTCCAAGAAAATGCCATCCTCCCTTTCATATACCTCTTTATTTTTCTTTTACATGTTGTTAAGGCTTTAAGCCATCTTTCATTGTATTTGTAAGTCTCTCATATATAGTGAAATACAATGAAAGCAAACCCCAGTGGATGTAGTCGATTTGGTGAACCACTTAAATCGTGTGTTGTTTATGCATTTCTATTTTGGAGATCATTGCCATAAGAAGCACTCCCACTAAACTATAAAAAAAATATCCATTTACTTCCCTTGAGAATGTTGTAAAATAAGGGGAGGACAAATCCCAGAAAATGCATGAGAGCTTAGCCAACAGAATTGCTCTATGGAATTCAAATGGATTTATGCATCAATATGACCTAGAGAGAGATGGAGTAAAATGGTAAAAGTAATAGTTCTCAATTAAATTGTTGTGTGTTATTCATACTATATATTATTGATAATATAATTTTGGCTACTAACAATTTGATTAGTGTTGCATATATAATACAATTTTGGCTACTAACAGTTTAATTAGTGTTGCTGATGTTATAGAGCATGTGATTATTGATATCCTTGTTACATGGCACATACATAAACATTCATGCAAAGCAAGAAAGAGAGTTCAATTGTGTTGAGTTTTGTAAAGTGTTTGAGTTGTGAGGATATTCAAGAGCTGAAGTTTGCTTTGAATATAAAATATTGAACCTTGTATATGTCAGGCGTAGGGTGCAGGGTTTGAGTATACAATTGGTTGATTATAAAAATAATGAAACCTTGTATATGTTAGGCATCGGGGGAAGGACTTGAATATACAATTGAGTGTCAGGGGAAGTGCCTGTATAATAAAGTGGAAACTAAGAGTTTAATTATAAAAATTGGGTTTAAGGGATGAACGGGAGTTAACTCATTCTCTAACGTATCCGAAGCCAAGTGGTATAAGCATGGTATGGGACGTGCAGACTTGAGTGCCTTAGGTATGTGTTGACGAGATTAGAAGGGAGTGAGTACATTCATCCATCTCATCTGCATATATTTCATGCATTTGAAAGAATTGTTACAATTTAATTATTATTTTGTTAGTAGTTTTTGTTGTGCATTAATTTTTGCACTATAGTTATTCCGCTGCCTATTTTAAAATTTTGAATGTTAGATTTTGTTGATGTATGGTGTAATTGTTATAATTTTATTTTATTTTCCACCATATCTTGGTTGTAGAATTTATTTTTATAGCTAAGATATGGCTCACACCCTAACTCATGAATAGTCTTTATTTGCGAGTCGGGGTGTGACATTGTGATGCGAATATCTTGGGATCCAAGGAATATATTTTTTAGTTTCCCAATGAAAAGAGGGGATTTAAGTCATTCCCCTTTTCTTTTCTTTTTTTGGTTAAACGATAGATTTTGTTAGATTAGCTACCGACAAAGTTTGAACTCACGCCGTCATGTAAGAGAGATCAATACATTTCCACTACTATAGTAAATGACTACTTGCTTTATTTTGTTTGTTTTTAACGATAATGCTTTTTAGGAGTTATTATTTCAAAAATTCATTATGCACTCTTTTATGATTAAAAAAAATTACAAAGAAGAAATAATGCATAGTGACTCATTTTGATTGCTAATAATATTTTTTTTTTTTTTAAGAAAAACTATTGTATTTATGAAGATGTTTTTCAGAATGAGCTAGAAAAATAGTAAATGTCATTGACATTCTAAAAATCTTATCATGCATTCTTTATAAGTCTATTTTTCTTTCTAAATATAAAAAATTTAGAGTGCAAAATAAGAATTCTAGTGTGCCAATAAAGATTCCCAAAAAATATCTTAATAATTTATTTTCCTTCATAAAAATAGTCCCATCTGCCAACAAAGATACACTTCAATTATATGAATAGTGTATTTTTGCTTAGCACTCTCAAGCACTGTTTTAAAAACTTCCACCTAGCATTTCTTAGGCTTTCGAAAATTAACAAATGACTCCTAGGCACTCACCTAGGTCGTGACTCTCACTTAGACAGAAAATAAATAACTTTTATTTTGCATTTTATTTTTTCTATAAATTGTAAGAGAGTTGTTGAACAAACACTCATTATATTAATGTTCACCACCATATTTATTACCATTTGATGAGTTTGTGAGATATGTATCTATTAACTACACAGATTTTGAAATTCAATTTTGTCTACCTTTAATAAATTGGGTGATGAACATCACCATTACTTGAGAGTAGTAAACAAAATAATCCCGTAATATGAATAGTCGCAACTATGCATCAACTTATCGCAAATGTTCATCGTTTTGAATCTTGTTAATTAAATGAAACCTAGGAGATCTTCTAACCAAACAGAAAAAAAAAAAAAAAAAAAAAAAAAAAAACATAGAAAACTTCATTTTAATCCTCGGCAAAGATGACTTTTTGATTAAAACCATGAGTAAAATCAAAATCTAATTTTAGTCCCTTGATACATTAATGACCTCATTTATTAATTATATTTTGATGTTTTAATTATTTATCTTTTTCTTTCTAATTTTTAATGTATTAATTTTATTTCATTATAATTTTTATTTTCATTTCATTCATCGCAATATATTTTGTTGTGAACATTTAGATAAACTAATTTTTGTTATACAATATATTTCGATGTACTTTATCTTCTTCATTTAGGTATATTAAATTCATTATAATACATTTCGATGCATACATTTAGGTACACACATTTTGGTACATGCATTTCGATACAAACATTAAAGTACATTAATTCAATATAATACATTTTCGGTACTATCATTTCGTTGCATACATTGCGGTACACACATTTAGGTACATTAATTTAATATTAATACATTTCGGTGCATATATTTAGGTACATACATTTCGGTACTAACATTTAAATATATTAGTTCAATATTATATATTTCGGTACTAACATTTAGGTACATTAATTGAGTCTTTCAAGTTTGAAGAATGTTAAATAAAATTAATAAATTAAAAAACTCTTTTTTGGTCAAAAAATAAATTAAAATTTGTG